GATCCATGGAAAGAGCCGAAGATGTCAGCTCGGTCATGTGATCAGCTGTGTCCAATCACAGCTGATCACATGTAAACAGGGAAATGTCGGTTATCGGCATTTCTCTCCCCATGAGCTGTCAAGCTGATAGAGGAGAGGAGAGCCGGTAATCGGCATTCCTCGGAGGGGACATGTACACAGATCATCAGAGCACTGATGATCAGTGTGCCCTGATGATCTGTGTAGCCCCAGAGCGTCACTTGTCAGTGCCCATCTGAGCTGCCTTTCAGTGTCACCCATCAGTGCCAGTCAGTGCCACCTATCAGTGCTGCTAATCACTGCCGTCTATCAGTGCCAGTCAGTGCTGCCTATCAGTGCCGCCTAACATTGCCAGTCAGTGCTGCCTATCAGTGCCATATATGAGTGCTGCCTTTCGGTGCCCATCAGTGATGCCTGTCAATGCCCACCAGTGCCACCTACCAGTGCCTCCTCATCAATGCCCATCAGTGCCACCTACCAGTGCCTCCTCATCAGTGCCACCTATCAGTGTCCATCAGTGCAGCCCATCAGTGCTCATCACTGCAGCCTCATTAGCGCACATCAGTGAAGGAGAAAAATCACTTATTTACAAAATTTTATAAAAAAAACTAAGAAAAAACTTTTTTTTTTAAAAAAATTTTCAGTGGTCTTTGGTTTGTTTAAGAAAAAATAAAAAACCCAGAGGTGATTAAATACCACCAAAACAAAACTCTATCTGTCACAAAAAATTATAAAATTTTCATATGGGTACAGTGTTGCATGACCGCTCAATTGTCATTCAAAGTGCAACAGAGCTGAAAGCTGGAAATTGGCCTGGGCAAGAAGGGGGTATAGGTGACCTGTAGGCTAGTGGTTAAGCTGGTCATACAGGCAGCAAATATTAGTCTGTTCCTGAGAAACTGGCCAATATTCCAACTGTGGGTTGCCCTGTTGACATGCTCCTTGTTGGCAGCCACTGTTTGTACACAAAAATCAGCAGTAGAGATTCCTGTTTCATGTTGATTGGGGGAATCAATAAATTACCTGTGGATGATCAGCTCCAGATGCATCCAGGGCTGATGATCGCTGCATGTCTGATTACATGTGAATGGCTGTGGGTGCGGTCAGCCACTCATTGCTTTGTATGGGAATTCCCACCTGCAGCTGCACAAACCCACTGAGTCTCCTGCAGAAATTCATAATCTGCCCCTAAATGAGCGTGTAAACGAGGCCTTAGAGTAGGACAGTAAGAATGATCATATGTGAGGATACGGGTGAAAAGTAACATCTAATAAATACTGTAAAGTATAACTGCACTTTCACTAAACCAAATACAACTGAACTTGTCCATGCAGCCCATGAAATAAGGCCAACATGAAATGTTACCTCTAATGAAGATGAATTCCATTTCCAGGAGAATGCCTTGGCTCCGTTTGCATTCATGTTTTCTATAAACAGATAGTTTCTGGCCAGCAATAGAAGGTGCAGTTTAGGGACGAAAAATCTGCTCTGCACTAGGGAGTCAATATTTTAGAGCACGGCAGATTATTCCCAGAGGCAGGAGACTGCAGACAATATTGCTGCAAACAGAAATTATCTTGAATTAGGCCCCATTTACACTTGTGACTGGGGCCAGGTGCAGCTACAAGCAGGAACCCCTGCGGAGGTTCCCAGTGCTTAGCTGCAGGAAGCAGTCCCATTGAAAGCAATGGAAGGCTGACAGCTCCCACAGCTAAATGTGGAACGATGTTGTGATTAGCCCTGGGTGAAGATTTTTTGCCTTCAGGACCAATCATTCACAGGTAACTGCTGCATGAGTGATTACCTGTGAGAGGCCGTGATTAGCTGCAGGGGCTGTCAGTCTCCCATTGTTTTCAATGTGGCTGCCTCCCGCAGGAATCACCAGGGATGATTCCTGACAGTGTGTGAACATTACAGGAAGCCTTGGCTATCTGCAGCGCAGAGAACATTATCTTCTGAATAGGCATGTCAGACTTCAATACAATTACCTGGTGTGGTCTAGTGTTGTAGTCAGGGCTGGTGCTTCCAGTAGGCAAACTAGGCAGCTGCCTAGGCTGCACTGCCACCCAGGGGAGCCGGGGCGCAGCACAGGCCAGCACTCTCTCTGTGTGGCCTATGGACCTCTTGAATGAATTCTTCATTTTTCTGGATACAGGGAATGATGGTATCTTTTCTCTGCACAATTGTCTCACGGCCTGTCCACACACTTGACCATTTAGTACATATATATATATATATATATATATATATATATATGACAGTATTCCATGTAGCAGTGAAGTGTCAGCTCCCCATAGGATGGGGGAAGTGATGACACTAGCCCAGGACCCCGGGTGGTCAGCGGTCTCTGATTGGAGGATCGGTCTCCACATCTCCAGTACACACACTGGCACACACGATCCTCCAGCTGTAACAGGGAGCCAGCTAGTGACCGAATGGGGTGCGTCCAGTGCTGGCTCCGCCTTATTCTACACAGCTGTAGCCAATCAATAAGCGGGGGTGTGCAGGATTAACCTTGTGTGAGTAGGATGATTGGAACCTGATGTGTAAGAGAGGGAAGCGGTGTAGTGCTGGGAAGCCACCTGTCCTCATTGAGAGCCTCAGCCTGGACTCTGCTCCTTGGCAGGAGCCATCAGAGGTGAGCAGAGCCTAGGAGGATAGTGGGTCATGGAGGTAACAGGAGAAGGAGGGTGGACAATGGTCGGGGTGAGGGGAGCCAATGCTGATTGATCGTGTGGGACAATGCCACATCATTAATGATCCTTCAGCTGAGGGGAGGGGCAGTAGAAGGGGATAAAGAAAGGACAGAGGAAGATTGTCTGGGGTGTCTAGGGCCAATGTAGCAACTGAGCTGCTGCTCCTTCCAGTGTTCCTCCCAGACTCAGTCCCTTACTGCAAGCCAGCAGGCGGCTGCTGATCACTGGATTTTTTTAATTTTTTTTGCTTCTCTGTCTGATTGGTTGGTTAATACAGTTAATTTATGTTTGGTTAATATATATTTGTCTTTAATATTGGTGCTGGTGGCATCTTATGGCACTTATAAGGCACTTGCAAATCAAAAGAAATTTAGCAGTTTAATGTTCTGTTGTCTTAATATTTTCTACTGTTTTAAAACGTTTTTATTTATTTATTTAATTTTTTTTTGGGGGGGTGCAAGTAGCTGGTTTTTCCTAGGACACAAAATAGTCTAGAATCGGCCCTGGTTGTAGTTATAAAATATGCAGTGACTGCATTCCTTTAGCAGGGCACGTCCAGTCTGTCATATTTCAAAGAAGCAAGATTTGACGTTTTTGACATTTTTAGAAAATGACAGAAGCAGACTGAAATGGAGAGATAATGTGAACATTAAAGTGAAAGTCCAGTCAAATCCTAACAGTATTTAAACCTGCTTTCACCCCCATTCTAACCTTATTCTAACTATGATGTGAGAGGAAAGATATCTACACTTAACTATGCTGGTCCGGTCACATGAATGGCTCCCAGTATCGGCTTCAGTGTAGAGGAGGTACAGCTGACAACATATGCCCCATAGTAAGCCTACGGGTGACGTCACCACGTACGCATTGCATCGATCTCTTCACTGAAGCTAGCCGCTGGGGAGATCATGTGACCTGACTGGGGAGCCCAGGAAATAGGTTAGTATAGACATCTTTCCTTTAACAAGGTAGCTAGAATAGGCTTGGAATGGGGGTGGGAGTAGGTTTAAGTATAGTTAGGATGTGACTGAGCTTCTACTTTAAATTCAATTTTTTTTTTTATAAAGTCTCATCAAATGTAATTTTATTTTGTTAGGTGCTGGGTGATTTTTTTTTTTTGTACATTTTAAAGCTGGTCTCTGTTTATGCGGTTCCTCCTTGTACAGTTAAAGCCACATCAATCCCAGACATGAATTTTTATTAGCACAAGTTCACTCTGCTTTACACTGAGACAATAGGCTATAACCTCAATGTTTATTTATGACTTCAAATTCTTTTTTTAAACTTTATATATGGAAATAGAAACAAACATATATCTGAAACTGCTGAGAACCAAACGCCAGGCTATAAATGAACTGAATCTAAGGTATATTAAAAATATTATTTGTGCTGTATGTAGCAACAGCGCCCTAAGTCCTATGCACTCTACACCTCTATCCCTGGCTATTCATCTTGCAGATACAAGGCATTAGGAGTTACTGGCTGTCAGCTGCTCAGATGCTTAGCAGGGAGTTGTAGGGCTGCTGCTTTGTCAGTGGATGTATATCACTGCATCAGTGCCCTTTGATTACACAGAGGCTGCTCCGACCATTAATAATAAAGAATATTCTTTTGTCTGCCAAATGGCACCAGCCTAGTGTTTCACTAACACCTAAGCTTTCTAGCCAGGCAAATCAGGTAAATCATCCACAGACACAGACTCAGTTTTTGCAAGGCTGCAATGAACTTTTACAGCAGATGTGTTATATAGAGAACATATATTTATCTAGAATAATATTTCCTATGTCTTAGACACATTTATTCAGAAGGATATTGGAACTTTATTATTAGAATGTACAATTAGGCAGCCACTGTTTCTATATTTGCTGCTTGGACACCTTATTGCTTGTAGATGGGGCTGCTCTGTTCATGGGTCAATCCAAAAGAGCCTAGAAGAAAGATTATGTCTCTTATTTGTATTGACAAATGTTGAAGACCAGGAGGGACCATTGGAAGCTCCCCATCACTCAATGCAGAGGTGTACACTTTTCATGGCTGTAGGAATGAGAAACGTTGGCCTTCAATCTTGCAATCCTGGATTATTTCCACCACTTTATTTTCAATTTACGCACTTATGGGTCAATAATTTTCAACGAGCTGTATTCCTGGGCTCTGACCAATTATGATAGAATATATTACTCCAGGTAAGCTAAATAAGGCTTATAGTAGAACAAAAGGCAGATTTTTTTTTTCATTTTGAATACAGTAGGTAGGGTATATGCACTGTTAGACTTTTATTGCCATTTGTGTCCCATTGGGCATATTCCCATTCACTTCCTGCCCCATAGCCAAAACAGGAAGTGAGAGGAAATACCTCCAAAATGAGGAACTCCTGGTTTTCACCAGGGTCATTAGAATTAGTGTCCCCATTGGAAGATTTCTATTCCTGTTCTGGTGACAACCCAAAATTTGGTATTTTCTTTCACTTTCAGTGATAACGGTAAATAGAATAAATACAGTGGGTGAATCTCTCTATCGGGGCACAGACAGCTGTAAAAACAGGAGTTCTAATCCCTCTCTACTCTACAAAAAAATAAAAAGAACATTTCTAATTTTAGCTATACTTTAATCCTAAAATGCCTGTTAATAGCATGATTACTATATGTAGCGTTACCCTCGTGAGGGCAGCTGTGTTTCTAGGTCCCCCTAAGCTCTGCACAACCAAGTAAAATGCATATTCCACACTTGCATCCACAATCAGTGAACAGTCCACGAGCTTGGGTTTTGTTAATTTATTAGGGGAATTAACTTGGATAGGATAATAGGGAATATGGGATGCCCAACTTGACTGAATCAATGAAAGAGGACAACTTCCTTCCTATTTACAGAAACAGATCCAGGACTGTTCTTTTCCGTGAAAGCCGCCAGTCTTTGTGGATCAGTAGCATCGCCCCTTATGGGCTCGGGACTCGCAGTCCGTCTGAAATCAGCTTCTTGCAAACTGCATGAGATGTCTGCTAGAGAGATGTCTCCTCTTCCCTGTAGAACTGCTCCCAGCTCCACAGCCTGCAGACACTACCAGCCCTCCTGGCTGCTCTAAAGATCTCCCCGGTCAAGGATAAAGGATTAAGCACAGCTCTGTCCTTTGAAAGCTTGCTACATGTGTCAGTTTCTCCCCTTGTGAATCCCTGGGTGTGCTGAAGTACTCACTCTGTTCTCCTTGCTCCCACTGCTCCCAGGCCTTGATCCTGTTCATGCCATACTGCTGAATGGACCCTCCTGAGCCAGCCTGAGCCCAGCCTGGAAGCCAGCCCCCCTAGACCTAGGGGACCCCTCCCAGACCACCAACACTCTCCACAGCACTCCACCTTTCACACGACTCCTTTGCCAACCTGACTATACCATATTTATGGGATTAGTGAGACTCCCACAAACATGCAGATTAGGTCTCCACCTCTTCTGCCCACTGACTTCTGGAAGGTATTGTGTTCTCCAGAGTTAGGTGGAGGAGATAGAGTCCCAACCTGTTAAGCCATCCAACTTGACCTGCATTAACCTGATCTTAATCACAGACTCACATGGTTACCATGAGTCTTACACAATAAATTTACCTACACTACACTACACTACACTAGTAGCACACTAGAGAATGCTACGTACATATTATTTCAGTATGACTAAAGTGTCAATAGTGCACATTAAGTATGTATAAAGGCAAATTTTTTTCATTTTGGATTGAAAAAACATTATCAGGTTATTTTATATATTTGTTTCCTGTCTGTATCCTTATGGGAATATTTTTTCACTTCCTGTCCTGGAAAAACAAAAAGAAATGACAGGAAATCTCTGCAGTGTACAGAATTGCCATCTTAGAGGGGTATTGTCATATGGGCATGTGTCCCGTTTGGAGAAATTTTTCCTATTCTCTCAAGAAGTTCACCAGCAGGACAGCAAAGTCAGAAACAGTATGCTTAGGATATAGCATGCTGAAATCTATCAGTGTATAAGAACCAGAAACATCAAAGACAGATTTAACGCCTCTTAAACAAAAGGGAACTTATCAGGGAAATTACTGCTCTGTCCCAGTACAACTATGCTTTCTACATTTTTACAGGTTTTGTATCAGTCCTGACTGGTAATGACTGGTAATGAACTGAACGTGCCTGAGTTCAGTTTGGAGAAAGTTTGGCTATCATTGTTAAAGCTTGTTTGTTGCATCTGAATCCCATTGAAGTCAATTTTTTTTTAATTCCACTTGGTGGGGAGATTTTTTGTAATGCTTAAAGTGAAATATTTAAGTGCAAAATTCCTTCAAATAACTTGCTTGGAGGATGCACTGACTATACATGTGAAGTTTTGTATTTGTACAGTGTATGCAACCTACCACAACAAAACTGATATTTACAAAGAAAAAGGGTGTTTAAATTGCCAACAAAATGACAGCTCCCAGTCACTTTGTTCTGAATGTAAACAAAGCAGCCTGAGATTCCCATCATTTATACAAAACCAATATATTGAGGTTAATGAGAAACCCCCCACAAAAAACCCATGTAAACAAAAAAGCCAGGGATAGTTACCAGGGGCGGACTGACCATTTGGAAACTCGGGCACTGCCCGAGGGCCCGGGGTCAGTAGGGGGCCCCATGAGATGCCTCTGGTACCTTTTTCATAGGCTTTTTTGAGTTTGGGCAAGGACACAGGGGCCCCATGATCCCCTATTGCCCGGGGGCCCCATGAGTTGTCAGTCCACCCCTGATAGTTACACAAGGTATGGGGTTCTCCCCATAAAATCTATATCCCTATTTGAGCATGCAGCCTGGCTGGCCAGGGAAGGGAGAAATGAGCTTGTGTCACCCCTCCTGAACAAGACCAGGCCACATGCCCTCAATATGAAAGGGCACCTTGCCAGGGGGACCACCCTAGTAAAGTACCTTGTCCCTGAAGGGTTTGGTATGAAATTGGGGAGGACCCCACAAGGTTTTTTTTTGCATGGGATTCTCCCCATAAATTTATATCAGACTTGAAGGAGTTGGTATGAATTATGTAAGAAACCCCACCCTTTTTGTGTGATTCACCCCAATTAACATCAATAGCAGACCCTCACCTACTATAAATGTCTGATGTACAGAATGGAATCTGCAGCTGCTTTGTCTACATAAAGAAGAAAGTGTTGTCATTGTGCTGGTAATTTAAACACTCTTTTTTCTTTTAAATGTTGGAGTTGCTGTAGTAGGTTATATACATTGCATCTGGAGGAAAAGAGAATGACACCCCAGTCACACCGATCCAGGTTTGAAATCATGCGACTTCCAGTGAAGTCGCACAATTTCAAAGTCGGATGTCATTCTGACTTGAGGTGCGATTTGCATGACATCTACAGCTTGCTAGACACAGATGTCTATCCAAGTCACACCTGAAGTAGTGCATGCACTACTTTAGAAATCGGTGCGGCTCTGACCAAGTGCTTTAATTGTGGACGCGGACAATAGGATGTTACTTGCCATGCGATTTGCAACTCGCATGGCATGGCAAGTCGTATCCGGTGTGACCGGGCACTTAATCTCCAAATATGTAAAGGCTTCTTCACAGTAAGGGAAAATGTGGAATAGACTCCCTCAAGAGCTGGTTCTGGCCAGCTCAGTAGATTGTTTAGAAAAAAAGGTCTGGATTCTTTCCTAGATACACATATGTATCTGGATACTCTGGATACTAATAATTAGAGGTAAAGTTGATTGAGGGAATATTTCCCCCCCCCCGCTAAAGCAAATTGGATCATGCTCTATTGGTTTTTTTTGCCTTAATCTGAATCGACTGTGGCTATAGGATATTGTATATAGAGGTTTTTTATTTGTCTGTGTGGTGTGTTTTTTTTTTTGGTTGAACTGGATGGGCCAGTGTCTTTTTTCAACCAGAGTAACTATGTAATTATGTAACATCGCACAGGAGCCATGCAATTCTATTGCACAGAACAGGTAAGTAATACATGTTTGCTATTAAAAAAAAAAAAATTATATATGTATATATATATATATATATATATAAATATATATATACAATTTGAAAGCCTAACTCTGAAGCAGCTGGTGTACCCAGAGAAACTGGTCAGGAAAGGCACCTCCACACCCCCAGATCCATTGATGAGGACTTATGCCTACAGTTTGATAAGTATTGATTACTCCATTTTGGACTCAGCTCCGATACTATGAACTGCCTTTATATCAAGGAATTCATGTATTATCATGTTCTAGGGGACTGTTCCTTCTACCTTTATGCCCGTTTGGTTGCTATTTGAGACAAATCTTGTGCATGTATGAAGGAGGTCTGTTTATCTGAACCCTCCCTGGGACGGTACCCGTACATCATTGGGTGCTAGAGGGAGGTCAAGATCTGTTTGCTTCCTCCTCTGGACTATATTCAGCCGTTGTCTGCCACTTGGGCTTTTCAATTTTCTACCACAAGATATATTGGATCATCTATACAGGGGGGTTGATGCTGGTTTAAAATACCTCCTCTGGACTGCATGTTACTGTATGTGTATTACCTTTCCTCTGCAATACGCTTCTCCTTTGAAAGATGTAGAATTGTAATATACAGAACATTTCTCTAATGAGGACTTCATGTGTTTTCCCTATAATAGGAGCTTTGCTGGCCATCATGGAACTATATATATCTCAACATATGGTCCACCTTATCCCCAAAATTTGAGGGGGAATAGTATGAGATCTGTGGAGTGTGGTGCTTTTTTGTTTTGTTTTGTCATGTTTTTAAAGATGTTTTCATTAAATAAGTCGTTTATGAATTTTTTCGACCATCAATCCATTTATCTATGTTAGTACAACACAAACAAATATATATATAAAAAAACACGAGTCCTGGTTGAATCCATAACTAATCATTTTAGTTTGGTTCACACACACACACACACATATATATATATATATATATATATATATATATATATATATATATATATATACGCACACACAATATATTGCCAAATGTATTGGGACACCCCTCCAAATCATTGGATTCGGGTGTTTCAATCACCTCCATGGCCACAGGTGTATACAGTCAAGCACCTAAGCATGTAGGCTGCTTCTACAAACATTTCTGAAAGAATGGGTCGCTCTCAGGGGCTCAGTGAATTCAAGTGTGGTACAGTGATAGGTTGCTGCCTGTGCAATAGGACCATTCATGAAATTTCCTTGCTACTAAATATTCCATGGTCAACTGTTAGTGGTATTAGAATAAGGTGAAAGGAAATGGGAACAACAGCAACTCAGCCACGAAGCGGACAGAGCGGGGTCAGTGCATGCTGAAGTGTACAGTGCGCAGAAGTCTTCAACTGTCTGCAGAGTCAATAGCTAAAGACCTCCAAATTTCATGTGGTCTTGAGATTAGCACAACAGCACTTAGAGAACTTCATGAAATGGGTTTTCATGGCCGATCAGCTGCATCCAAGCCTTACATCAAAAAGTGCAATGCAAAGTGTTG